GAGTCAGGCACTTGGGCCGCGGGGCTGGGCTCCGGCGCGGGACACGCCGCCGTCTCCTCCTCATTGCTCAGGGAGCTCCTGGCGTCGCCGGCCTTGGGGACGGCTCCCTTCTTGGGCGCCTTCCTGGTGTCACCCCGTCGCTCTGTGGGCACCTTGGCTGCCGCCTTCTCTGCCTTGGCAGCCCTGGCGTCGCGAGCCGGGGGCTTCGTCGCCTCGTCCGACAAGTCGCTCGCGGTGTTAGTCCATTGCCCCGAAGCCTCCTGGCGGCTCTTGAAGATGGTGTCCAGGCTGTTTTTGGGCAGTTTTTTCTTAGTGTTCGTCCTCGTCCTGCTTTTGGCTTTCTTGGTGGCCTCACTCTGCTTGAAGGGGGAGCGCAGGGAGTGATCCATCATGAAGCTCAGTAGAGTCTCCTCGTCCTGCAGCAGCTCCTCGGAGAGGCCCGCCGTGCTGTCCTCGTGGCGGGCATTGTTGAGCGACCACTCGCTCATGGTCACGTTCTCAGCCGTGATCTGCACCGACTGGGCGAGCCAGCTGTTGAAGAAGGTGCCGTCTATGGGGAAGGAAGTCGACAGACCTGGAAACATGAGGAGAAAAACAGAGAATTGCCTCAGAAATAGCCCAGTTTCCCGTTGGCAACCCAATAACTAGGGCACACGGGTGTTGCTGAAGCTCTTTGGTGCTACTGGAAGCTGGGTGCTGCTGGCCTGGTTGAAGGCCCGGCCAAAGCCAAGCTGGACATTAAGGTCTCTGCTCCTCTTCAAGGTGCAGGGATGAAGACCAGGACCTCGGGATCTGACCTGCTGCTATGAAGATGAATCACTTTGGACGCGGTTCCTAAGGGGCAGGAGCTGTAATAACCTCTGCACCGTGCAAGGAGAAACAGGTCATTGAGCAGCAGAAAGCTCCCATAATCCAGAGCAAACAACTTGGCAATGGTCTTGAACCATCCCACCTTTACATGGCCGCAACGCTCCACACTCCACAACCGGGTTAAGGGGATTGACTTCCTAACACTGCTTAAACCCAGCCAAATAAAACATGCAGAGATAAGGCGGGAGGGATGTGAGCTGCAGAACCATCTGCAACCACTCAAGAGGTGTGAAAACTCAAGCAGAGGAGCAGCAACACCAACCTATAATAGAAAAAGCTCCAAA